GTCCGGCTGGGATCGGGGCTGTCCTTAGCTCATCGCGGCTGTGTGTCCGTGTCCTTGCAGGGGAAGCAGAAGAAGGCGCGGAAGTACGCGGTCATGAAGCGCATGATCAGCCTCCGGGATGAGCGCATGTGAGTGTGGCTGCGGCCGGGCCCGGGCCCGCGCGGGGCCCTGGAGCGTCCTCGTGTCCCGCTCGGGAGAGGCGGCCCAGGTCTCTCCGCCTCTAGCACCCCTTCCTTATCGCTGCACCCCAGTAGTGCCTGTGTTTCTTTGCAGTAAGGAGAAGGATCGCGCAAAAGCCCCCGTGAAGAAGAAGGAGGACCCAAGTGCCATCAAAGAGCGGGAGGTGTAAGTGCTGCCCAGGCACTGGGGAGGGAGAGAAGGATGGAGGGAGGGCCGGCCACGCTGCAGGCTGGAACTGAGAGTGTTTCTAAGCGATACTGTCAGAAGAAGTTGTACCCCAAACCGAAGGATTGTGCTTGGGCTGCAGCAGGAGGTCTGATGGGTCTTTCTGCTCACTATCTGTCTTTCATCCTGTACAAGTTGTAGGATTGGACGTGATGTTAAATGCAATTAACTGATTTGAATTCTTTGTCTTCCTGGCAGCCCCCAGCATCCCTCTTGCTTGTTCTTCCAGTATAATACACAGCTGGGTCCCCCTTACCACATCCTGGTTGACACTAACTTCATCAACTTCTCCATCAAGGCCAAACTGGACCTAGTGCAGTCAATGATGGACTGTCTCTATGCCAAGTGTGAGTTTCTGCACCACTCACAGCTTCTTCAGACCACACAGTGCAACAGTGGGCTCACAATGTTCTTTGTTACCCCCATGCAACGGGCTGAGAATAACAGAAATCTTGTAAAAAGAATATATGGTATAATCATGGAGCTGTGGTAACCTTGGCAATGTCTCTGGTTTCAGTAAAGTAACGGTTTTAAAGTGCTAATCTCAGCAAAGGTAGAGTACTAATAACTTAAAAATCTAAAATGACCATGGCATGGTTAAACTTGGTGGCTCTGCATTTCATCACCTTGCAATATTATTAGCTGTCACTGTAAGTAATACATTATAGAGTTCCATGATGTTTCTGGGGCATGTGGGCAGTATGTAGGGGTCTGGAATAAATCCTGCTTTATTTTAATATGGGCTTTTTTTGCATTTAGGTATTCCATGTATCACAGATTGTGTCATGGGTGAAATCGAGAAGTTAGGACAGAAGTACCGTGTGGCATTAAGGTAGGTATAGGGCGTTCTTCTCTGGTTCTAGAACTTAATGCTTTAATATAAATAAATGGAAAACGCTTGCTATGACTGGTACTCCTGCACTAGAGGGTGGTTAGATTATTGCAAGATCCCAAACTTGGTTTTATTTCTCTGTCTCTATGCGATCTGTATAATGGTTCAAGTTTTAGAAACAAAATGCTACATATGAGTGCACAATATTAATTTGTAAATCTTTTAAACTCCTAAGACTTTCAATGTAATGCTTTATCCTGTTTCTCAAAAAAAAATTAATTCTATAATTTCTAAAAATGAATAAAGAAGTGACCCACATCTTACAGAACTTTTCATTCATACTTTGTGTTATTCCTGTATGAGTAGGTACCAAGTACTGATCATCTAGAGCCAGGTTATTGTGTGATCTGTACAAAACTAGTCCAATGTAGTTCATGTACATCGCTCAGATGTATTGTTCTTTTTATTTTGGCCTGCTGTGTTGTAAAGTATACGAGTGCATACCCTCAACAGCTTTGATGGTGCCCTTCAGACAGGAGGTGAAATGTCCCTTTATGAATGGTGCAAATGATCACATGCCAGAAGTTCTAGTTTTTCCCACAGATAACATTTCAAATTACTTTGTTTGGCAATGACCTAACATTGTACAGATTTTGAATCCAACAAACCAGTACTAAGAAATACTTAACCTATAATAACTACACAAATTGCATTATTTTTTTCCTTAGGTCATTTCAGTTGACTTTTGTCTACCATTTACTCCATCCCTCCATCCTTTGTTTTGAGAACAATGTTTTGTATGTCAGAAAGGAGTATTCTTGTTCCTCCATACTGTGTTCCTGTACTCTCTGGTCTGATTGTTGTGATGCTGTTTTTTATGTCCCCACAGAATTGCCAAGGACCCTCGCTTTGAACGCTTGCCGTGTATGCACAAAGGAACCTATGCTGATGACTGCTTGGTGCAGAGGGTCACTCAGGTATTTCCCTTTCTGACATTTTCTATACTGTCCTAACATACTAAAAATTCCTGAACACTCCTAATTACTGACTGACTTAAACAGAGTAAATATACAATCTCACCAAGGGGCATTTACAGTTTTAGCACCTCTTTATTCAATGCAAGGCATTATCTTCCCTGAGCATTCTTGCTGTATAGGACAGCATCAAGAAGCACTTAGGATGGGAAAGCTGTCAGCTTGAAAGGCTGGACAGAGTTTCAGAGATTTATTGAGTCTATTTTGTTGGGCAGAAGGATATTATTAGTCTGCTGCAGAATTCTGTATAAGTCCTGATAATGCCTTGCTAAGGACTCTCAGTCTTCCTGTGTTCAGTGAGCTCACTGAATAGGAACATTGGTCAGCCATGACTCCCTTCTGGAGTTCGCTGGTGTTGAATCTCACTTGCCTTCTTTTTTTTGCAGCACAAATGTTACATTGTGGCCACAGTGGATAAAGAGCTCAAGCGGAGAATACGAAAAATCCCTGGAGTGCCTATAATGTATATTTCCAGGCACAGGTAAGGGCCCCCTGACAGGAGGGAATCCTGCCCAGTGCAATCCATGTCTGACAGGGATTCTGTCACCACATACTTGTCTCCTTCATTGCCTGTAGTGCAGGCTGCAGTAAAGGGCCTGGTGTTTACACAGAAGTTGAAGTACAGTTACTGCTGGGAAGAGACTGGTCACAGACCGATTTTTATTGCAGTCTTCATGTTCACTTGTTTTTACCTGAAGAAGTGGTTTCCTTAAGGCCAGTATTTCCATAGATAAGTTTTGCTTACCAGCAGCAGCAGGACTACCAGGCAAATGCATTCTACAGGTTCTTGAAGAAAAGAACCATTCTTGTTCTATATTCTATTTGGTAGCTTTGTGTACCCTAAGAGACTGAATTTGCTTCTTGAGTAAAAAACCAAACCAACTCAGAAGGATACTCCTGCAGCATGAGGAGCTTGATTGCTATAGATATGTGAAGTTTTAACTGATCTACAATTAGAATGTGGCTCAAAAGATTTTTTTCTCAAAACACCTTTTCTCCTTATTCACTGTGACCATGAACTTTTGGAAAAGGCTGTCAAGGGTGATGGAGTCACCATCCCTGGGAATGTTCAAGAAATAACTGTACATGGCACTTAGTGTCATGGTCTAATTCTCAGGCTAATATTCAGTCAAAGGCTGGACTCAGTGATCTTAGAAGTCTTTTCCAATGTAAATGATTCTGTGAATTATAAGTTGAATGTCTAAAATTTTATTTTCTGTGGTGATCTGCTCTTTAATCCTAAATCAGATCACAAAAGAGAAGGTTTTTTTCCTCCTCTGGAGATGGTGAGTTTTTTGAGATGTCTGATTGCTGAGTTTAAGGTAAAGAATAACAGCAACTTTTTGAAGACCTTTTACTTTCAGAAATAATGTTTTTCTTCTTGGGGATCTGAGCTGCAGATAGAAATGCAACAAAGCTTCTTGCTATTCAGTCTGCCTGTAAGCCTGTTGCTGCATGGGTTTCACAAATGAATGATTTCGTCCCCTTGAAGAATCACTGTGAAAGATACACTACCAAAGCAGCTTTTAATATAACATTGTAGCAGTGCAGTTTAACAGAGTTTAATGGCATGGTTCATTCTAATAGTAATGGCTGAAACATACAAAGGAAAATCAACTTGGAATCACTTTAGAATGTTTTGCATGGAGACCAAAGGAGTGCAAAGGAAGACCCTCCAATTGAGTCATGAGGTTCAGTAAGGATCTCCTTGCTTTCCAAACTCCTGATGGAGTGCAGGTGCAGCTGCATCCAATCTTAGCCCCAGACTTGTTCAACAGTCTCTGTCTTAATTAGATTTTAGAAGCACTTAATCATTGACTGATTAAACATTTATAAAGTGATTCAGTAGGGTTTACTACAGTTATAGCAGTGACTTAATTATACTTTCAGGAAGCAATATTCATACTATACTCAGTAAAAAGTATTTCAGCCAATTCACATGCATGCACACTTGCACAAAGATGTATATGTAAATGTATAAAGGTACCAGTTAAAACTTCCCCTCAGGTTCAGTGAAACACATAGAATGCATCTGCATTTCTCAACAGGCAAGGCTTGAGTGATTGTCCTTCAAGTATCTCAGCCTTGAGACTGAGAGACCTGCTCAGAGAGGTTCTGGTGCAGCCCACAGCAGTCCAGGAAAGCACTAAGGGCCTCACTTAAGATTACTGTTTATAGAGTTACAAGATGATTGCTTTTAGTCATGCATAAATTTTCTATCTTGGCCATAATCCAGATTAGTAACTACTAGAATTTCCAAAACTCTAGTAACATTGGTACTATTCCACTCAGGCCATGACTTAGATAGGATTGTCAGAGGATGACTGACAATCTCATCCTTCACCACAGACCAGCAACAGGAGTTCCCAGTATGGTCAGTGCTGTTCTCACCTTAGTCATGTAAGACTTTTTGGTATGGTTAAGGGATGCTTCACCACCTAACTAGTTACACAAACGCCAAGGCCTAGCAGAAATCGTTGAGATGGTAGTACAGCCCTGAGGAGGAAGAGGAGGTTGATGCACCACCACAGTGAGGAAAGGAGCATTGTGGAATGGATTGTCTTCATAAGTTTTCCTTCCTTCTTTCTCAGGTACAATATCGAGAGGATGCCAGATGATTATGGAGCTCCTCGATTCTAACCTGTCCAGTCAAGCCATCAATGCCAGGACATGTGAGCCAGGATAAGGCTCCTTCTGATTCCAGCCATCCTGCTTTCTTCTTCTGTTAGAACTCTGCTCATAGGACTGTGGATAACCAAACTGACTTCTTAACCTTGTTTTTCTAAGAAAAAGCTATTTTGAAGGGTCTGATTTTATTCATCCCTCCTCTGCCTTGGTACAATTACCTACAACTGGGAGAAGCAAATGGGAAATAGAGGACTGCACGACCAAGAATGTGCCTAGCTCAGTTGGACCATTGGCATTGGAGAAAGTGATTTCAGCATTCTGAATTAAATATTGATGATGCAACTCTGGCTGAGAATGAAACCACAAGAGATTTTAAAAGTTTCTTACCCCTGCACCTGGAGTGGGACAGGTATTCCTTTGGGAAGCTACCTCATACCTGTTTAGTGAAATCAGAATCTGTATTCTGCAGAAAAGACATCAGATCTGCACAAGTTGGTAGCTTTCTGAAAAAGCGGTCTAGATTTTAATTCAGAACTGATGGGCTTTTATTCAACTGCACAGTGAATTAAGTTTTAGCAGCCTCTCAGACTGCTCTCTGTACTTGGTTAGCTGGCAGCCCGGTCCTTTTGCTTACATTTAGAGTGGTGGAGAGCAGGACAGGGTTGGGTCAGGCCAGATCTTTCCCTCCTGTTTGGGTCCTATGCACCTCAAAGCCTTATCACTTTTGTTACTTATCAGGGACGAGAAGGAATGTGTCTAATGGGCAAAGGTATTAATGTGTGCTGGGAGCACAGTTGTTGTGGAGGAATAAGAACAATGGTTGCAAATAAAGAGTCTTCCAGAGACCTGCAGAATTTGCTGCAGGGAAGGAAGTAGTCAGGGAGGGAAGGAAAATAAATTGTTAAACCACATGAAGAAATGTAGGGGGGAAAGTATTTCTAAGCCATAACTCTGCATTCTTATACCTCCTCCATTATTCCTTCATTTTTAGCAATATAATTTGCTCTTATGATCTCTGCTGAGTGGTGAGGAGGTCACCAGGAGCCAACATGCCAAAGCACACTTCCTGGCCAAAATGCTGGCGGTGTAGTACAGGAGAAGACTGAAAATTTATATTCTTGATATAATTAAGAAAATTTCCAAACCTTAACAGAGCTTTATCCTGTAGTCCCTTGGAGTTTATCCTTGTAGTCCCCACTGATTTGGCTGCAGAGGTGTCCACAAAGGCCAACAGCATCCTTGCCTGCATCAGAAATAGTGTGGCCAGCAGGACTAGGGAAGCAATCCTCCCGCTGTGCTGAGGATCTGCCTCACTTGGTGCTGGTGAGGCTGCATCCTGTGTTTAGTTCTGGGGCCCTCATTGCAAGACAAGACACTGAGATGCTAAAGCATGTCCAGAGAAGGGCAATGGAGCTGGTGAAGGGCCTGGAGCACAAGTCTGATGAGAAGCAACTGCAGGAGCTGGCTTTTAGTCTGGAGAAAAGACTTGGGGAAGACCTTACCACTCTACAACTACCAGAGAAAGGAGGGTGTAGCCAGGTGGGCGTCTCTTCTCCCAGATAACAGGTGACAGGATGAGAGGAAATGGCCTCAAGTTGTGCCATGGGAAGATTGGATATTGGGAAAAATTTCTTCACTGAAAAGGTGCTCAAGCATTGAAGCAGGTTGCCTAGGGAAGTGATAGAATCACTGGGCCTGGAAGTGTGAAAGTGTGGATGTGGCACTTAGAGGCACAGTTTAGTGGTGGGTTTGGCAGTGCAGTGTTAATGGTTGGACTCAATGCCATGGAGATCTCTTCTAACCTTAACGATTCTATAATAGCTGAACTTGGCTGTCTGTATGCTGGACAGCATTCAGTGAAGATCATTTCCTGTCTTTGGGAAATGCTCTGACATCCTGGTAACTTCCTTGCTAGCACCACACCTCTACACATACTGCAGGAAAATTTGGGAACACATCAGACCTACCCCTCCTGCTATCTCTTCAGTTGTTGTGGGCTCACCTATTAAACATCCCTGAAATAACAGCATACTGACACTTTGAAAATTTAGCCCCTTCCAGGCTATCACAATTAAAGTTAATTTTCTCCACTTTCAGCCAGGGAGAAAGTAGCCAACAATGGAGAGATTTTACAGTTAATATATAATATGCACATTTCAAAAATAATATCCTTAGTTTTGTTCTCTCAATCCAATCCATATTTCTTTAAGCTAATGATCAAGTATTGTCATGAACATTGAAACCCAAGTTTAGTCAAGCGAGGACTGAAAACAGGTGTAGGATTAGATCTCTGTTACTTGCTTTTCAGAATAATTCTAGTTTTAAAAGACTTCTTTGAGTCAATAGTTAACTAGAATTGTTCCAGTTAACTAGAATTGTTATTAGAATTAACCTAAGCAGAAGGAGGCTGGAGAAGAAAGAAGAAAGGAATGGATACTTAGGGTAACATTTGATAATAGTCTTTCTGGCATGTAAGAGGTCAAAGGCACAGCAGCCTGATGAATTTGGGGATATATATACCTGCCAGCAGAATGCCTTTTGCAGGGACTTCATGAAAATATATATATTTAGCATGAATGGTGGGTAGGAGTCAAACTAAATGTGCACATTTACTGAAAACTTTTATTCCTTTTAGTCTGCCTTGTTTTAGTAAAAGGATGAGGAATCTGGAATAGGTATAAGGCAATTGCTAAAGATGTGTTAGGAGGGCTGGAGCATGAGCAGAAGAAAGTATTGGCAGTGAGCAAACGCATGAGGAAATTTTTATTATGGTAAGACAAAAAACTTGGCTATTAACTCGAAGAGCCTGGTCAGAAGATAAATATGAGAGGACCACCTGAATGATCACCTATTTCTCCTGCAATGCCAGGGAACCTGTGTACCAAACACTTGGTTCAGAGGAAAATATTTACTTCATACACACAATGGCATCCCAGTGTCTGATCCAATTTACAGTATGTCAGAGGAGGGAAGGATCATTGTCACAGGAAAGAGTTTGGCAAACTAGAATATTTTCATGTTCCCACAAATGAAGAACTCTGTTAGTCAAAACCAGAAGAGAAATTCCTTCCTGACTCAACTCTGGCAGTTGGTTTAAACCTGCACGTGATTTAGATATCAGATGCTTGCAGTGTTTCTTAGTAACTAGAGAATTCAGCCTTCCTGCTAACATCCTGCCTCCTGGTGTAGCCAGTTTCCATAGCTTCAAAAGACACAGAACATACAGGAGCACCACATAAAAAAATCTGAATATATGCAAAGAATGATAGAAAATAATTTCTACTCCTTTCTGGAGCCACCAGAAGGTTTAAGATTAAGATGAAGAAATTTAAGCTGCTGATCCAAGATGTGGCACTGGTTAATTGAGGGGTAACTGAAATGTGGTATAATAGTGTTTAGAAGCAGGAAGAACATGAGCTATTAAAAAAAAAAAAGACCTAACCCAAACCAATATGATGGCACCCTTTAATGTTACAGACTGAACAGAATAAATTAAAATAACATATTCTGAATAAAAGAATCAGAGGGCATAATGTGAACTTAACAGGGTTGTTTTAGGGACAAGGTAACATTGGGTAAAGCCATTTTGTCTGGTGGGAGTCAGCTGTACTGCAATCTAAACCAGATTTGAATTTTGAAAAAGCATCTGTCAAGTTATTTGGAAGTTACATTTTGGCTTCCACAGTGTAGGCTGGACAACAATTGCCCTGAAAATGTTTAGGTACATGTATTCCCTCATAAGGGGAGTAACAAGTCTCTTGACAATATTGAGTAATCACAACAAACAGCAAAAATAGTGGGAGACACCTACCTGCAGGAAATAACTGTTAGTAAACTGATCACAAGCGATCTCATATAGTGAATGGATCAGGAGGATAAATTAAAGGATGTTTGCAACAGGAATTCCACATATGGGAAGGACAGACTTTCAAAAGCTTAAACTGGCCCATAAAACTCAGGTATATAAATGCTAAGTACAGCACAATGAGCAGTAGATGAGGGCTAAAAATAAATGCTATCTGAAAGTCATATTCATCGCAAGGGAAATCTAAACAGACCATGCTAAATAGAAAAGGATCAATAATCACCTCTAAATGAAAAGAAGGGGTACTAAAGAATAGAAAAGGCAGTTCTGTAAGTATTAAATTAAGATAGTTTTCTTAAATATTTACATCTCAGTTGAATTCAGTCAAATTTTTTTTGCAGATTCATGGTATAGCTCCTCTGTGGATTTCTTGAAATTTAACAACAAATGAACATAAAGTCCAGCTTTTCCAACAGAGAGGATAAAGCTTCTGCTCTGTCTAACAATGTAATGATCTTGATATTTCCCCTGACTGAAAAGTCTTAGGACCTTTCCTCCACACCTGTCTTTCTCCACTGCCCAGGGATCCTTGATTCAACGGTCATGAACTAGAGACTGACCTTGACAGAAATGGCTCCGGTTTTTTGTGCTTGTACAGGAGACCAAGCAGAGACGCACTGCAGTGCTGGTGTCCTGCTGACCCTTGGCCACTCGGGCTTCACTGCCCAGCTACTACAGTTCACACATACACCCACACGAACCTCTTCCCTACGATGGGAGTCCAGCACTTGGCAAAAATCACTGCTAATTGCCTATAGAACATACTTGTTTGTTTAACTCATACTTTAGCGCGGGTAACCGAGGGCACCGGCGCCGCCGCCCCGGGGACACCACGGCCCTCAGGAGCTCCGGGCCCGCCATACACAGCCTAGCTTGCGGAGCGCCTGGCGGCACCCCTACACACAGCGGAGCCCCCCGCGCCGGGCCCGCAGTGGCTCCCATCTGTCGCCTGCCCGTGTCCCGTCCCCTTCCGTCCTGTCCCTTGTCCCGGCGGGGCGGGCGGGATGCGCCGCTCCGAGCTCGCCTCAGCCCTCGGCCTCGCGCTGGAGGCAGCTTTCCGCTAGGCGGCGCTGCCACCGGCCCGGCGGGGCGCTCTGGCGGGGCGCTCATAC